CCGTGTATGTGTAGAATGGCGCCAATGTTTAATTTGTTTTGTAAACCGTGTGTGTGTAGAATGGCGTCATTGTTTAATTTATTTTGTAAACCGTGTGTGTGTAGAATGGCGCCATTGTTTAATTTGTTTGGTATACCATGTGTGTAGAATGGCGCCAATGTTTAATTTATTTTGTAAACCGTGTGTGTGTAGAATGGCGCTAATGTTTAGTTTGTTTTGTATACCATGTGTGTGTAGAATGGCGCCAATGTTTAATGTGTTTTATATACCGTGTGTGTGTAGAACGGCACCAATGTTTAATTTGTTTTGTATACCGTGTGTGTGTAGAATGGCGCCAATGTTTAGTTTGTTTTGTATACCGTGTGTGTGTAGAATGGCGCCAATGTTTAGTTTGTTTTGTATACCGTGTGTGTGTAGAATGGCGCCAATGTTTAATGTGTTTTATATACCATGTGTTTGTAAATGTTTAGTGTGAACATTATTTTATCATCTAATGATAAATTACGTCACAAAGAGGATTAAAAAAAGTTTTAATGCACTTGAATTAATTTCTTTCCTCGTACTCTCGCACAGAGAACAACTGTCTTGGCGAGTCAAAAACCTTGACAAGCAGTTTATCATGACAATTGTACTGCAGGCCACAATTTTTTTATTCTACACAATGTATTAAAAGGAAGGGATGGGGATGCTGGAAGAGAGATCGAACATGATGTTCATTTAGCTTATATGCATATGTTTATAATAATGGACATAGTTTCTGTGTATTTACAAAGTTTACAAAGACCGTTCTGACCAGACAGGTACCCTGTTGTACACTTATGGTAAAAATGACTGTCACAGGCTTGGCTGGATCCAGAAAAGAAAAACTTGTCCACTTTACATTGCAAACTACTATACCTGTTTATCATATTCCAGATATCCTTTGTTATCACACATGGTACCCAGAACCCCATTTCCCAAGATACACCACTAAATCCAGCCATTCCTGTACCAATATTGGACGATACGATTGTGTGTAGTCAGTAATTGACACAAATGCCAGTACCATAGCGTAGGATGAAGCAGCAGAAAAATCAGGAAGGATCAAAACGTTTACTTTTCGTTATCAACGTCAAAACAGTCATAAAATATCAACGTTTTCTGCTTCGTTACGAGCTGTATCACCGTAAAGATTACATCTTTATATAAATCTCGGATAGGATATATATATTGATGACGAAGGACACCAAAATTGATGCATTCGAGAAGATAGTGCTTTACTGATCCGATTTGACCACAGATACAAAGCGGTTTTCAATCGTTTTTGTGATTCATTTTCAGCGGTGTTTAGCATCATCAATTTGTCCTATTTGTTTACCAACACTGTACAACGAAGTAACCTCCAAGTCGTCGATATTTAGTGTTATATGCAGTTTTAAGGAATTCTAAATTTGTTCAAATGACGTCAATAATTAATGTACATATGTATTTTTATACCGAGTATTTGTTGAAACGGCACTAATATTAAACGTGTTTTATGTACCGTATGCTTTTCGAAATGGCGCCAATGTAATGAAATGGTGCCAATGTTTGATGTACCGTATGTTTATCGAAATGGCGCCAATGTTTTATATACCGTATGTTTATTGGAATGACACCAATGTTTTCTGTACCGTATGTTTATTGAAATGACACCAATGTTTTCTGTACCGTATGTTTATTGAAATGACACCAATGTTTTATGTACCGTATGTTTAATGAAATGGCGCCAATGTTTTATGTACCGTATGTTTAATGAAATGGCGCCAATGTTTTATGTACCGTATGTTTAATGAAATGGCGCCAATGTTTTATGTACCGTATGTTTAATGAAATGGCGCCAATGTTTTATGTAATGAAATGGCCGTATGTTATGTTAATGAAATGGCGCCAATGTTTCATATACCGTATGTTTATTGAAACGACACCAATGTTTTATGTACCGTATGTTTAATGAAATGGCGCCAATGTGTTATGTACCGTATGTTAAATGAAATGGCGCCAATGTTTCATATACCGTATGTTTATTGAAACGACACCAATGTTTTATGTACCGTATGTTTAATGAAATGGCGCCAATGTTTTATGTACCGTATGTTTATTGAAATGGCGCCAATGTTTTATGTACCGTATGTTAAATGAAATGGCGCCAATGTTTCATATACCGTATGTTTATTGAAACGACACCAATGTTTTATGTACCGTATGTTTAATGAAATGGCGCCAATGTTTTATGTACCGTATGTTTATTGAAATGGCGCCAATGTTTTATGTACCGTATGCTTAATGAAATGACACCAATGTTTTATGTACCGTATGTTTATTGAAACGACACCAATGTTTTATGTACCGTATGTTTAATGAAATGGCGCCAATGTTTTGTGTACCGTATGTTTAATGAAATGACGCCAATGTTTTATGTACCGTATGTTTATTGAAATGACACCAATGTTTATATTCTGTATGTTTATTGAAATGACGCCAAATCTTTATCTACCATGTGCAAATTGAAATTGCACAACTGTTTTATATCCCGTTTGCTTGTTATAGGACGCTTTTGCAACAACCTGTTTGTAACTACAATGTGCAGGAAAGGGACAGATCATCCTGATGCTGCCGGAAAACTCAAAGTTCGGTGTGGCCGTTGGCGAAGAGATGCCAGATAAGACCTCATCCATATTCTGTCTCCCGTTATTTTGCGTTTATATTATGATGAAGTGACATTTTTATTCATGTCATCTGAACCATGTAGCAACATCTGTTGTCTTAAACGGAAATGACACAGATAAGATACTGATATTATTCAAATTCAAACGCAGCTAATTTCTGTGGTTGACAACAAGTACCAACAGCTGATGCGTGTTTACATTTTAACATCGTTAACCAACATCGTGCATTAAATGCGACAAAATTTGTCGTGATCATAACTCATCAAAACAGACACGTCTACACGTGTTGTAATTTCATATGCAATGGAAATATTCATTTATGCGTGAAATTTTTGATTATGACAGTCGAGTGAAAATCACAAGATAAGGCGGTCCAATTTCACTTGCATATTTCTGTACCGGTCACGTTTTGACGCGACCGAGTTTGTCCTTGTCATTTGCCTCAGCCAATACAGATTCGTCCTGACCTCCAGTACTTCCTCAACCAATATCATCTACTTGTGACATCATTCTCAGAATCAATATCTATATCTTACTACGTCCTAACGACCAATATCTACCTCTTTCACCATCCCAACAACCAAAACCTGCCTCTGACACCGTCCTAACAACCAATATCTACCTCTGACACCGTGCTAACAACCAATATCTACCTCTGACACAGTCCTAACAACCAATATCTACCTCTGACACAGTCCTAACAACCAATATCTACCTCTGACACAGTCCTCACAACCAATATCTACCTCTGACACAGTCCTAACAACCAATATCTACTTCTGACACCGTCCTAACAACCAATACCTACCTCTGACACCGTCCTAACAACCAATATCTACCTCTGACACTGTCCTAACAACCAATATCTACCACTGACACCGTGCTAACAACCAATATCTACCTCTGACACTGTCCTAACAACCAATATCTACATCTGACACAGTCCTAACAACCAATATCTACCTCTGACACCGTCCTAACAACCAATATCTACCTCTGACACCGTCCTAACAACCAATATCTACCTCTGACACCGTCCTAACAACCAATATCTACCTCTGACACAGTCCTAACAACCAATATCTACCTCTGACACAGTCCTAACAACCAATATCTACCTCTAACACAGTCCTAACAACCAATATCTACCTCTGACACCGTCCTAACAACCAATATCTACCACTGACACCGTCCTAACAACCAATATCTACCTCTGACACCGTGCTAACAACCAATACCTACCTCTGACACCGTCCTAACAACCAATATCTACCTCTGACACAGTCCTAACAACCAATATCTACCTCTGACACCGTCCTAACAACCAATATCTACCACTGACACCGTCCTAACAACCAATATCTACCTCTGACACCATGCTAACAACCAATACCTACCTCTGACACCGTCCTAACAACCAATTTCTACCTCTGACACCGTCCTAACAACCAATATCTACCTCTGACACCGTGCTAACAACCAATACCTACCTCTGACACAGTCCTAACACCCAATATCTACCTCTGACACAGTCCTAACAACCAATATCTACCTCTGACACTGTTCTAACAACCAATATCTACCACTGACACTGTCCTAACAACCAATATCTACCTCTGACACAGTCCTAACAACCAATATCTACCACTGGCACAGTCCTTACAACCAATATCTACCTCTGACACCGTCCTAACAACCAATATCTACCTCTGACACCGTCCTAACAACCAATGTTTACTTCTGACACCGTCCTAACAACTCTTTCTCACAACCAATACCTACCTGTAGTCACAGTCATACACATTGTGACTCCTCAAAGAAAAAAAATAAGAACAATTAAGGTTTTGTATCAGGCTAATTAAGCACTTTCTTCGTGAATGGTTCCAATGTATCTAAGTTGTGTGATAAATAGAACTTTATATTCTTTCAGTTCTTATAAAAATAATGAGCCTCGTACAGATATTGTTTCACACGTGTTTTGTTATTTTTGTATTATGTAAGATCATCTATTTACCACATAAGCTTCTTTATCGCTCAAAGATGTATCACTGCAGCCTCTTCATATTATCTTTTTTTTATTTTCCGTGTCCCACTACGTTCATACAATGTCAAGCCAAATAACAAAGTTCGCTTGAATTTGTGAATAAAAGTAATATAACGATATGGATATTGATGTTTATTTATCAAATGTCAATGCATTTTATGCCACAAGCAGTCTTTTCTAATATGTACAAAGATTTGCACAAATTTCATGACCCGGTCGAATCATTCTTATACAGATACAGGATGTGCTGTTCTATATGATTCTGCAATTTAAAACCGCCTCGATCTGGACTTAGTTGGCGTGTACCGTGCAAATTGCTGGAAACCACTATTTCTTGATGGTTGCTCTGCAACAGATTGCTTGGATACAGGTTTCTGGTTTTGAGAAAATGCGCTATTTCCTGATGTTCGCTGTGCACTTGCTTGATTAGAGACAGGCGTTTGTTTTTGAGCAAATCCGGTATTCCTTGCGATGTGCTGTGCATTTGCTTGACTAGACACAGGTGTATGCATTTGAGCAAATCCGTTATTCCGTGCAATATTCCGTGCACCTGCTTGGCTAGAGACAGGTGTTTGTGTTTGAGCAAATCCGTTATTCCGTGCAATATTCCGTGAACCTGTTTGACTAGACACAGGTGTTTTTGTTTGAGCAAATCCGCTATTTCTTGGGACGTATTTTGCTCCTACCTTATTAGAAGTTGGTAAATGTGTTGACACTTGTGTTCTGCCAGAGTTGGACACAGGAAACTGTTCCGCCATAAATCCAGAAGTCTGTTGGATCGTTGTCCTGCCTTGATTTGGAACTAGTACTTGTTCCATTGTTCTGCCGATTTTCCGAGATGCCTGTCCAGTGCCAAAGCTGGACACTGGAACTTGTTCCATTGTTCTGCCAATTTTCCGAGATGCCTGTCCAGTGCCAAAGCTGGACACTGGAACTTGTTCCATTGTTCTGCCAATTTTCCGAGATGCCTGTCCAGTGCCAAAGCTGGACACTGGAACTTGTTCCATTGTTCTGCTGACTTTCCTAGATGCCTGTCCAGTGCCAAAGCTGGACACTGGAACTTGTTCCATTGTTCTGCTGACTTTCCTAGATGCCTGTCCAGTACTATAACTAGACACCGGTACTTGTTCACGCGAGAATCCAATTTTCCGTGGGACTTGTACAGTGCCATATCTGGGTATGGCTCCTTGTGAGGTCTGTCCAACGCCATACCCAGATACTGATGTTTGTTTCTGCATAAACCCAATTTTTCCTGAGGCCTGCCCCGCCCCATAGCTAGGCATTGGTACTTGTTGCTGAGAGAATGCACTTTGTCTGGAGACTTGTGTCCTACCAGTATTGGACACGGACGATTGTTCATTCATGAACGCACCAGCCTGTGGGATATTGATTCGTCTATGACTTGATGATGGTGCTTGTACCTGTGGCATCCCCTGGCGATATTGTTGTCGGACTGTAGGGGTTTGATTCGGCGTCATCCAGCGTCCTCCATGTTCCTGAAAAAAACCCAATACAACAATGTAAATAACAGAATATTTTATTTTAAGGTAACAAAATTTTCAGGGCTTCACTTCATTCGAAAATAGCAGAAAATTGAGCCAATTAAAATAATTACAATACAGGATGGAAATGAATCTATCATTCCTTCTAAAAGACCGTTATGGTATTTTTTTAGTAATAAGTTCACTTCCATCATTATGAAATCTCTAATTTAACATTGCTTTGGATGATTTGACTTCCCACACTTCCAAGTGCCATACTGGAATTTTGGCCTCTGGTTTCGCCTAGGAAACGGCTCTATTTGAAATATAATTAAGCTTTTATCTATCGAGAGGTGAATTTAACGATTTCTTGGCAATCCTTTTTTCTATGTCAATTAAAGGTTAGCTGAAACACTTGTAACAATATTGATCGAACTCAAAAATTGTACAAAAGACACACAGGTGAACAGCACCTTTCATCATTTAGGATAAGATACAGTAGATCCATAGAATGAATGGAACTGCATCATGCAGCTGTTCGTCTTTCTAGGACTCGTCAGTGATGCAAAGGGCCTAAATTTTGAAGCCTGGGATGCGACTAAAGAATATCTGATAATTTTAGATCAGCGTCTAGTACATGTGCATTTTCTGAAACGGGCACGATTCGAATGAATTAAAACGGGGACTTGAAATCCTCCAACAATGTCTACAATTATTACTGTAACTTCGGACTCAAACTTCATGGTTTTATATAAACAATTCACTACTGATATGAACATGAAATGATGACGTAAAATTTATGTTAGAAAAAATGCTTGATTGAAGAAAGAACACCTGTTCAACAATTCAATTTTTATGAAATAAATAGTCCAATGAGGTTTAAAGCAATAACCAAAGGCAGATTTGAGATTGATGTCTATCTTATTATCAACTTTAATATTGTCTAACGAAGAATTCGAATTTCTCGAACTTCTATACACGGTATAAAGATCGTAATTTTAGAGTTTTTTTTTCTATTCCGTAGAATAAAATAAACTCGCGAAAAACTGATACAATGCAGAGAAAGTAATTTACCGTGTATTTTTTCAGTTTTGCTTCAATCTTTAAGTATGATGATGCACTGACCTGTTGTGGTGATGACATTTGTTGTCTGGATGAAGGGACTTGATGCGCTGGATTAAACTGTCCTCTGCTTGGTATCTGTTGGGTATACTCTCGTCTGTTTGGAACTTGTACTTGTGAAAACGATTGTCTGTTGGGAATTTGATTTGTTGGTGTATATTGGTATCTACTTGGAGGGTTTTGCCCAGGGTTGGTATGACTCTGTGCATTTCTCCTTGTATTACTGCTAGCAGTCATCTCTCTCAAAAGATTGTGGAAATTACTTTTTGGTTGTCCAGGTGGTGTTTGAGGAATTAGGTGACTTTGAAAAGCCGCCTGTCTATGACTTTCAGGAAGTTCAAATGAAACCGTGTTTACACTGGCACCCCTGTCATACAGGTTTGATGGACCGCCCACAGCATTCCCTCTTCTTAGTTTGCTCAGTAGATCTACTAAGTTAATAGCACTGGTCGTGACGAACAGACACAAGAGCGGAAGGGCGTGACTAGTGAACATAATGAGCAACCCGCAACGCTGTAAGGAGAAATTGGTATACATCAGTAATTTGATTAAATGTAAAATGTTCAGAATACTATCAAATGTTTTTTGAAAAATACAAAAAGCAGAAATATGCACAACACTCAATCAGAAACTGGTACATATATTAGTATGATTTACCAAAACCACAATGCGTTAGCACATTAACTACTACGTAAAGTAGCAACATCTGCATATCTTTACACGTCGCCTGGAGACGGAAAACTTGTAACTAAGTAACTAAACACTCATACTGTAAATTATTGAGATATTGTCGCAATAATGTCAAATTTCCTGGTTATCCAAAATTGATATGGTTAATGGTATGCTTGATTTGGTAGCGACAATGTTCGAGGTTAATGTATACTTGATTTGGAACCGACAATGGTCAGGGTTTATGACAGAAATCTTTTTCTTCACTTTTTCATTTTATACATTGGAATTACAGTATAAAATGACCATTAAAAGGGCGATAATTCGATTATTATATCTAGACAGAACTTGAAAGTAGGAAACATTTGCTTGTCTGTTTCTGGTTTTATTGCGCTATGGACAGCCAGGTCAATTTTGAGTAGTGGCTGGTACCCCACAGAACAAGAAATACGTCGAATGCCATCAAGAACAAGCGTCTCGCTAAGGATACAACCACGACAATACAGACTGGTCCATTACAAGCTTCCTGAGAAACATAAACCACCAAAGGAAGAAGCAAAGTTACATATGTAATTAATTTTACAGGTAGGTTATTCACTTGTTGAGGTAGGTTATTCGCTTTTTGTAATTCAGGTCGCTATTACACCGTGTGTTATTGAGGTAAGAAATTAAATGTGATTGAATTCGGTAATTCATTTTTTGTTCTTCCGGATGATAATTCGTTGTTTTTAATTAAGGTCGGTTATTCATTGTCTGTTACTGAGATCTGTAATCCACTGTTTTCCATTGGAGTCAGTAATCCGCTGTTTGTAATTGAGGTAAGTTATCCACTGTCTGTTAATGATGTCTGTAATTCATTGTCTGTTTTTAAGGTTTGTTAGTGAGGACAGTAATCTAGAGTTTGTATTGAGATCTGTAATTCATTGTTTCTTATTGAGATCTGTAACTCGTTGTTTATTATTGTGGTCGGTATTTCATTGTTTATTATTGTGGTCGATATTTCATTGTTTATTATTGTGGTCGGTATTTCATTGTTTATTTTTGAGGTTGATATTTCATTGTTTATTTTTGAGGTTGATATTTCATTGTTTATTTTTGAGGTTGATATTTCATTGTTTATTATTGTGGTCGATATTTCATTGTTTATTTTTGAGGTCGGTATTTCATTGTTTATTTTTGAGGTCTGTAATTCATTGTTTGTTCTTGAGGTCTGTGATTTATTGTTTGTTTTTGAGGTCGTTAATCTACTGAATGTTATTGAGGTCAGTATTTCATTGTTCATTACTGAGGTCGGTATTTCAATGTTTGTAATTGGGTATAGTAATTCCTGTTTTGTTATTAAGGTCGGCAATACCAATACCTTGTTTGTTCGGTAAGCCACTGTTTGTTTTGAGGTTGGTAATCCTCGGAGCTAAGTTTCTGTATCGAAGTTGGTAATCCATATATAAATATTCGTGAGGTCGATAATTCTATTTCTTTATTGAGGTAGGTAAGTCACTGTTTGCTATTGAGTGCTTTATTGTTTGTTACTAAAATCGTTAATCCTTTGTATGAATTGAAGTCGGTAATCTACGGTAATTCACTGTATCTGAGAGCAGTAATTCACTGTTTACTATTGCGGTTGGCAATCCACTGATTTTTTTTATTGATGTCGGTAATCCACTGTTTGTTATTGAAGTTGGGAATCCATTTTTTGCTATTTTGGTTGGTAATCCACTTCTTTGTTTTTTTATTGTAGTCGGTAATCCACTGTTTGTTATTTAGGTCATTAATCCAATGTTTATCTTTGAGGTCGGTCATCATCAGTAATCCACTGTTTACTATTGCGGTTGGCAATCCACTGATTTTTTTTTATTGATGTCGGTAATCCCCTGTTTGATATTGAGGTCATTAATCCAATGTTTATCTTTGAGGTCGGTCATCATCAGTTATCAACTGTTTGTTATTGAGGTTATTAATCCACCTATTGGTATCGGTAATCCACTGTTTGTTATTGAGGTTATTAATCCACCTATTGGGATCGGTAATCCACTATTTGCATTTGAGTTCGGCAATTTACTGTTGTTATTAAGGTCAGTATTTCACAGTTTATTGCGGTCGGTAACACCGTTATTGAGTTCGGTGTACCACTAATTTTTGTTGGACCAGTAGTTCACTGTATGTTACTGAGGTAATTAATCATGTTTGTTTTTGAGTTCGTTAATTGACTGTTGACACTAAGATCAGTAATCCATTGTTTGTCATTCAGATCGATAACTCATTGTTTGTTAGTGAGGAGGAGTAATTCATTGCTTGTAATGCAACTCGGCAATCAAATATTTATTTGGTATTCATTTTTTTTTGTTTTTTTTTTTTTTTTTTGTTTTTTTTTTTTTTTTTGTTTGTTTTTTTGTTTTTTTTTTTGTTTTTGTATTCGTTAATTTACTTTTTGTTTTTAACCTCAGTAATTCACTCTTTGTTATTCAGGACGATGATTCACTGCTTCTCATTGATTTCAGAATTACAATGTTTGTAATTCAATATTTGTTACTGAGGTCGAATACTCACTGCTTGTTATTGAGGAGAGTAATTCACTGTTAGTAATGCAGCACGGCAATCCAATATTCATTACATTTTGATACTGGTCGAAAACCTACATGTTTTTGTCTTAAGTTGGTAATTCACTGTCTGTTATTGAGGCATGTAATCCATTGTTTGTTATTTAGGTCGGTAATCCATGATTTGTTATCACTTCTTTGTTGTCCAGGCTTCGTTTTCACTTTTTTGGGCTTTTTTTGTTTTTCATTTTTTTGTTGTTTTTCTTGTTTAATTTGCTTCTTTTTAAAAAATTGAATTCGGTAATTCATTCTTTTATATTTAACACGATGACTCACTGCTTCTTACTGGGTTCAGAATTACACTGTTTGTTATTGAGGTCGATAACTCTGTTATTGAGAACTGTTTGTAATGCAACTCGGCAATCAAATATCCATTACTTTTTTTGCGATACAAGTCGAAACCCTACATATTTTTAAAAAAATTAGATTTGTAGTCCACGGTCTGTTATTGAGGTCGGTTATTTATGATTTATTATGGAGGTCGGTAATCCTTTCTTTGTTTTCCAGGGTTGGTATTCACAAGTTTTTTTTTAAAACTGAAATCAGTAACTTACTCTTTGTTATTCAGATCGACGATTCACTGCTTCTCATTTAGGTCGGTAGTTCACTGTTTGTTACAGAGGTCGGTAATCCGCAGTTTTTTTTTTGTTTTTGTTTTTTGTTTTGTTATGTTTTTTGAAATCTATAATCCACTGTTTATTATTGAGGTCGGTATTCCATTGTTTCTTATTGAGGTCGATAACTCACTTGTTTTTGAGATCGGTAATTCACAATAGTTATTGAAGTAATACACCGTTAATTACTGAGGTCTGAGGTCGGTAATCGACTGTTTGTTATTGAGATCTGTAATCCAGTTTATTATTGAGATCTATAATCCACTGGATATTATTGAGGTCTGAGTCGGTAATCTCCTGATTATTATTGAAGTTGGTAATCCAATGTTTGTTATTGTAGTCGGTAATCGACTGTTAACTATTGTGGTCTGAGGTCAGAAATCCACTGTTTTGATCGACATTTTTTTATCCAGTGTTTATGATTCACGTCAGTAATCCATTTTTAATTATACAAGTAATCCAATATTTACACAGCCATGCTGATCGGAATATATAGAATAATATATAATGTGGGCTGTAAAGGTTAGTCATCCACTGTTTTCATGTAAGACGGTAATTCATTGTTTATAATTCAAGTCGGTAATTCTCTATTTCTTACTGTTAGGTTGCTAATCCACTGTTTTTAGTTCGGTAATCCACTGTAAATCATTGTTGCAATTCACTGTTTATGATATAGTTCGATAATCCACTATTTTTTGTCGGGAGGTATTTCACTTTTTGTAAAGTTAGTAGGTAATCCGCTATTAATTACTGTTTTCTATACATATCGAAATCCCATATGTGTTGAGGTCGTTAATCCAATTTGTTATTAAGGTAGGTAACCACTTCTTGTTATTGAGGTCGTTAATCCAGTTTGTTATTAAGGTAAGTCATCCTCTTCTTGTTATTGAGGTCGTTAATCCAGTTTGTTATTAAGGTAAGTCATCCTCTTCTTGTTATTGAGGTCGTTAATCCAATTTATTAAGGTAAGTCATCCTCTTCTTGTTATTGAGGTCGTTAATCCAATTTATTAAGGTAAGTCATCCTCTTCTTGTTATTGAGGTCGTTAATCCAGTTTGTTATTAAGGTAAGTCATCCTCTTCTTGTTATTGAGGTCGTTAATCCAGTTTGTTATTAAAGTAGGTAATTCTCTTCTTGTTATTGAGGTCGTTAATCCAGTTTGTTATTAAGATATGTAATCCTCTTCTTATTATTTAGGTCTTTAATCCAGTTTGTTATTAAAGTAGGTAATCCACTGTTTGTTACTGAAATTGGGAATTCAATCTTCGTTATTTAGGTTAGTAATTAAATGTTTGTTGTTTAGGTTGGTAATCATCTGTTTGTTATCGAGATCGATGCTTCATCTTTTTTATTGCAGCTGGTAATCCTCTGTTTATGATCGGTGTCGGTAATCCACTGTTTTTCATGTAGGACGATAATTCACTGTTTGTAATGAAGGTCGGTAATCCGCTTTTTATAACTGTTAGTAATAACAAATAAAAGTCGAAAACCTGCATGTTTTTTATATTTAGGTAGGTAGTACATTACTTGTTATTCAGGAAGGTGCTTGTTGCTATGTTTATTGAGGTCGGTAATCTCATATCTATTATTCGGATCGGTAATCCACTGCTAAACC